GGTAAGTAAGCCTAACCTAACGACTTAATGACCTTTGTAAAGATTCTCTCTCCAAGTAAGGTCACATTCTGAAGTACTGGGGGGTTAGGACTTCAACATATGAATTTGGGCAGGGTGGAGAGGGGAACAGTTCAACCCTTAACACTGGGCATGGACAACTGTATGTCACACACACCCTTTCCCTGGTGGCTCTCCCCTCCCAACTGCACTAGCTGAGGCGTTATAGATAGAATGTCCAATTCACTGAATAAGTTCTCTTTAGTAGGGTGCAGCTCCTGTCCAGAATAATGCCAAAATAATAAAACTTTACAGTGATTCAAAATTGAAACTTGTCCCTTCTGCCAGCCCAGGCCTGCTTCAGGCTTAGAAGCCTGCAGTGAGAAAGTTAATGTTGTTGGCTTCCTTCCCTGTTCCACCTCTTCTCCTCAGTTCTGCTGTTTGCCACCCTTATGGAATCAGGCCTAGAGAGGCTTAAGGGACAAAAGCTGTTTGGTTGATGGCTGGGCTGTTTTCATTTGGCACAGGTGCCCTCTGGATGGCAGATGTGTGGTTCTCATTGGTAGGTTCCTGGGAGATCCTCCTGCTAAGCCTCCCTCTTCAGCTCTCTTGATGCAGTGGGCCTCTCCTCCAGCTGGCCCATGCTTTTGGTGCTCCACCCCCTACTGGTGACCTCTCCCCCTCTCTAGGCTGTACTCTCTTGGGGAAGCTATCTTTTTTTTTTTTTTTTTTTTTTTTTTGAGACGGAGTCTCATTCTGTGGCCCAGGCTGGAATGCAGTGGCACGATCTCAGCTCACTGCAAGCTCTGCCTCCCAGGTTCACGCCATTCTCCTGCCTCAGCCTCCCGAGTAGCTGGGACTACAGGCGCCCGCCACCACGTCCGGCTAATTTTTTGTATTTTTAGTAGAGACAGGGTTTCACCGTGTTAGCCAGGATGGCCTCAATCTCCTGACCTTGTGATCCACCCGCCTTGGCCTCCCAAAGTGCTGGGATTACAGGCGTGAGCCACTGCGCCCAGCCCCAGGAAGCTGTCTTTTTTAAGGCAATCCCATGTCATTTGTCTTCCATGGAGTTTGATTTGGTTCATGGGAAACAAGAACCTTTGCTGTTAGTGGAGGTGTGGTCTACTCCTAGTGCAGCCTTTTAAACTTAGCTGATGGGTAGATGGAGCTCAGTCATAGTGTCTTACCTTTGTTCAGGCTTGAATCAATTCCTACTGTCTGTGTCCATCTAAGTCCAGTAGATGCTTGTCCAGCTCCTCAGGTAGTGCCCTGGAAGCCTTCCCAGGCTGGTGTGAGGTGGAGGATGGCATTTTCCTCTTTTCCCCTGCCATAGACAGAGGACACCCTGCACACCGACACCCTCCAGCAACATATGCGCCTCAGATTCTTCAACCTTAGCTTATCGGAGGCTGGAGGAGACTGAGTGGCTAAGATGGGCAGAGTTAGATAAAGCTTCACCCCTTGCAAGTCCCGCATGGATGGTCCGTTCTACATCTCTGTGCAGGTGTTAACTATGCCACTCCTAGAGGTGCCAGTCAGACCAGAGTTGGGATGGTATCATTTGCAGAGGAAAACAAGTGACTGTTTACTTAACTACAGAAGACTGGGTCATCTGATGTGAATTCCAAGAGCATCCTTGCATTTCATTTACACTTTTAAGCATCAGGAAACACAGTTTAATGCAAAATTTCCTTTGCCTGTTTTGTCAATTCATAGAAATTGACAAAATTTTTTGTGTCTTTAGCACATTTGGATTGACTTAGCGGAGAACTAACCTATTATAGCTTCCCATTTTTGCCCATGTAACTTTGTGCAGTATCTCTGAAGAATGTTTTATTATACCAGAGGCCAGGGGGAAGGGAGTGTGTAGGTGTTGAATCCAAAAGCAGTATCATGTTCATTGTTTTATTCCGCGGGATCATTCTGTTCTAAAGATATGATATAAACGTTGGTTCTTTGCTGTATTTAATTTCATTGCAATAGAATCCATTCAGCATTTTAAAAGGTGATTATTTTCATGTTAAATTCTATTACTTATATCTTCATAGAACATTCAGACTTGAATAAGAAAAGATTAGTTCAAGGTCATTTGAACTTAGTGCATTTGTATTACCTACTTAGATAATTTTTATTTATTCACCTATGTAGTATAAAAAGCATTAATTCCTTTGACCTTATTAAGAAAATAGATCATACTTAGTAGAAGAGATCACAGAGACCCAAAGTTGAAGAAAGTAGTAGAAATGTCAGTAGTAAAACCTGATACGCAGGTAAGCAGCACTATTAAAACCAACTTGTTTTGACAGTTAAGTCAAAAATAAATAATAGTGGGGGCCGGGCATGGTGGCTCAAACTGTAATCCCAGCACTTTGGGAGGCCAAGGCAGGCAGATCACCTGAGGTCGGAAGTTCAAGACCAGCCTGGCCAACACGGCAAAACCCCGTCTCTACTAAAAATACAAAAATTAGCTGGGCGTGGTGGTGCATGTCTGTGACCCCAGCTACTAGGGAGGCTGAGGCAGGAGAATTGCTTGAACCTGGGAGGCAGAGGTTACAGTGAGCAGAGATCGCAGGCACCACACTCCAGCCTGGGCGACAGAGCAAGACTCTGTCTCAAAAATAGCAATAATAATAAATACATATGGGGCCAGGCGGCGCAGTGGCTCACGCCTGCAGTACCAGCACTTTGAGAGGCTGAGGTGGGCGGATCACCTGACTTCAGGAGTTTGAAACCATCCTGGCCAACATGGTGAAGCCCTCTACTAAAAATACAAAAATTAGCCAGGCATGGTGGCACATGCCTGTAATCCCAGCTACTCAGTAGGCTGAGGCACGAGAATTGCTTGAACGTGGGAGGCAGAGATTGCAGTAAGCCGAGCTCGTGCCACTGCACCCCAGCCTGGGTGACACAGTGACACTTTGTCTCTAAGTAAATAAATAAATAAATATCAATCTATGTATCTTTCAAGAATAAGGCCAAAATAGTTGTGGCAGATAGGATAATATATGAAGTACCACTTTTGGTACTTGGCAGCAGTGGTGGGGCAAGGAACCCTAAGGCATTGGTACTGCTCTCACCGGGGGAAAGGAGAAGGCAGGCCCAGTGGTTAATTCTTTGTACCTTAAGTATTTGGACATAAAGAATAAAATGGGAGTATATAGGTGTCTTAGTACATTTTGTGTTGCTATAAAGGAATACCTGAGACTAGGTAATTGATACAGAAAATGTTTATTTAGCTTGAGGTTCTGCAGGCTGGGAAAGTTCTGCAAGCCCCGGTTTCTGGGGAGGGCTTTTATAAAGCTGTGCCACAACATAGCAGAGAAGGTCAAACGGGAAGTGGATAACTACAAAGATAGAAAACCCCAGGAGCATCCTGGCTTTATAACAACCCCCTTTCATGGGAGCTCATCCTTTCCACAGGAACTGATCCAATTTTGCCAGAACGAGAACTTACTACCATGTGAAGGGCATCAAGCCATTTATGAGGGATCTGCCCCCATGATCCAGACACCTCCCACTAGGCCCCACCTGCCAAGACTGCCACATTGGAGATCAAATTTCAATATGAATTTTGAGAGGGACAAAAAACCAAATCCAAACCATAGCAGTAGGCAACATAGGAAACCAATAAACCTGAAAATAAACTGAGACAGGAAATGAATACAGAAATTACATCATATTAAACGGACAAAGACATATGAAAAGCTTTCATTCCCTAGACATTGTATCCTAATAGGTACCTACAGTTGTAAACGTTAGTGAAATTGTGGCGTTAAAAAGAAGATGCAATATGAAATAAAATTAATACAGAAAGGTTTGCCTCTGGTTATATGCCATATTGTATACAAAAAGAAGGAAACCTTTCCTGGATGGAAACAAAAGTAATTGAAGTTTATTTTAAGGAGTACTGGCCGGGTGCCATGGCTCACGCCTGTGATCCCAGCACTTGGGGAAGCCGAGGCAGGCAGATCACTTGAGGTCAGGCATTTAGAACCAGCCTGGCCAACATGGTGAAACCTCATCTCTACTAAAAATACAAAAATTAGCCGGCATGGTGGCAGACGTCCATAATCCTAGCTGCTCAGGAGGCCAAGGCAGGAGAATCACTTGGACCCGGGAAGCGGAGGTTGCAGTGAGCTGAGATCTTGCCACTGCACTTCAGCCTGGGTGACAGTGAAACTCTATCTCAAAAAAAAAAAAAGAAGAAAAAAGGCATTAACAACATCAGTACCTATTTGTTTTTGTTTACATCATACCCCCCCCAAAAAGAAAAACTCAGTTTCAGGTATGAGCGAAGGTATTGTTTGAGTTGTGTATTTTAAATCACTAATTTTTCTTTTCATATCAAATTGACTTTTGGATTTTTAAAACTTTCACAGATAGTTTTAGAACTGTCCTTCCAGCTATGGGAAATCATTATTACCAGTATGACAGCTAGCCACATTCTGTGATGGTATTTCACTTCCTAATGCATAGGGGGAAGTTGGTTTTACTCTTAAAAAGAATAATTTACTTGCACTTCTCATTCTACCAGGAGGGTTAGAAACATGCAGCTACTGAATTTATTGTCCTCAAAGCCCCTTAGAAGGTATAGCAGAGAACTGGAAATTTAAAAACCATTTTTATATTCATTATCCATCCATTCAATAGGTATTTGTTGAAAGCCTACTATGTGATATGAAGTATGTTGAGATGTTCAGACAGATGATTAAGATGTGTCCCTGCACTGAGGGAACTCAGTCTTTTGGGGTTTTTGTTCTTCATATCTTCCCCAAAATTTCTAACTTTATATAAATTTAGACTTGGTTTCTGTTGAGTCTTTAACTAGTTTGAGACATTTTATTGCAGTATAGTGCAAAGTATTAATGGGCTAAGTATGTTAAATGCTGCTGTATTTGTAAGATCTCTTGCTTTGTCTGTGACCATGAAAGTCTCAGTGAAATGGGATCTTATTCCCTAAATTATAGCTCTGGTTTTAATGTTTCTTGATATTATTGCAGAGACTCAACATGTGCCTTCCAACCATACAAATGAAACTTCCAACAGTACTGTGAAACCACCAACTTCAGTTGCCTCAGTCTCCAGCACTATGACAGTCACCACCATGAAACCCACAGCAGCATCTAATACAACAATACCAGCAATGGTCTCAACAAATATGACTTCTACCACCTTAAAGTCTACACCCAAAACAACAAGTGCTTCACAGAACACATCTCAGATATCAACATCCACAATGACCGTAACCCACAATAGTTCAGTGACATCTGCTGCTTCATCAGTAACAAGTATGTATTAAAGCTGACCTGTTTTTCCTCTGCTGCAAGTAAATGCCACGTTTAAGTCATTATTCTGTCTTTCAAAAATAATATAGAAACTTTATATGCCTAGATTTTCCTTAATTCCCAATTAAATGTTCTTCACACAGAAAATCAGAGAGCTTTAATTACAATGTTAAAAAAAAAAAGCACCTAAAACCCTTTTTTGTTTTGTTTTTTTCTAGTCACAACAACTATGCATTCTGAAGCAAAGAAAGGATCAAAATTTGATACTGGGAGCTTTGTTGGTGGTATTGTATTAACGCTGGGAGTTTTATCTATTCTTTACATTGGATGCAAAATGTATTACTCAAGAAGAGGCATTCGGTATAGAACCATGTAAGTTTTGAATGGCCAGGACTTTTTAAAAAAATGGTTGTTGCACATCTTTAATTATGATAAAATATCAAGCCAGTGTTCATCTCAGGGATGAATAATTGATAGATTTATGAGTTACATTCCCATTAACCCTCTTTGCCCAAAGTAAATTATTTATGTACAAGCTTGTGATTATAATTATTTGCAAATGAAAATGGATGTATGTACTTACAAAAATGTATTTTACTAGTGTCAAACATACTTTACAAGAGACCAGAGTTAACCCACCCTGAAATTTTCACTTACTCATACCACTAATCATAAGAAATACCAGTTCTCAGCAGGCGGTTGACGTAGTATGTCTGTGTCTGTTGTGGTACTAAATAGCATCCTTGGTAAAACCATGGCTTTTGCTTTCCATGACAAAGACAAACAAAAGAAATTCCTCTGACACCCTCATTATCCCTGATAATTTAAATGAGTAGTTAGTATAAATAATATAATTTATCATTTTATCTATAGCAAAACTCTCTATAGATGTGCATTATCAACAAGACCTAATCAACAAACCATGTTTACCCTACATGTAGCTCTATAGGTCTTATGGTTTGAGGACATATCCAAAATTTTGTTGCTCCAATAGTCCTTCTTGTTTATATTTTTTGAATCTTACATGTTGTCTTAGTTCACGCTGATACAACAAAGTATCATACAGCTGGGTGCCTTAAACAACAGACGTTTATATCTCACACTTCTGGATGCTTGGAAATCCAAGATTAGGGTACCACCATGGTTGAGTTCTAGTAAGGGCCTTCTTCACATGGCAGAAAGAAGGCTAGCTAGTTCTCTGACCTCTAATTGTAAGGGTATTAATTCTGTTCATGAGGGCTCCACCCTCATGACCTAACTACCTCCCCAAGGCCCCACTTCAGAATATCATCACACTGGGATTAGGGTTTCAACATATTCATACTGGGTGACACAAACATTCATTCCATTGCATATATGTAAGAGCTAATTCACTTTTTTGATTGTTAATGTATATAAATACCGTAGAACAGATGACTGTTTTCCAAAATTTGCCTTGTGGGTTAACATTTGACATACATGTGTCCCACACACAGAGTTCCTATATCAAAAAGTTTGGGAAATGTTCAGTTGACTAAAGTAAACTAAAACAGTTTACTATAAGACTTCTCTAAGCCTTTAAAATGTTGATATACATTATGATTTTCCAGGATGGAATACAGTATGAACTGTTTCCCAAGTTTTTAACCAAAATACTTGTTAAATGATTAAATCCCTCCCCCTGCCCCTTTTCAAGGGGAGCTAATACTGTCTATCTCTTGGAACTAGTATTGTGTGGAATACATTTTGGGAAATGTTGGACTAGGCCATTGGAGGGAATCTTCCAGTTTTGATACTACATATGATTCAGTACACATAAAAGCAAATCAAACTTCTTGATATATTTGTAAGAAGTACTAAATAAGAACATGGAAGTTTCCCAATTTTCAATTTATTGATATAAGCTCTTAAATAAACATCTCATCATAAATGAAAATTGGATCTAACAGTTACATTACTAATACTTAAACAAAAATGATAATTTAAGAACAGATTTTTTTTTTTTTTTTTTTTGAGATGGAGTTTCCCTCTTGTCACCCAGGCTGTGGAGTGCAATGGCACGATCTCATCTCACTGCAGCCTCCACCTCCTGGGTTCAAGCTATTCTCCTGCCTCAGCCTCCCCAGTAGCTGGGATTATAGGTGCCTGCCACCATGCCCAGCTAATTTTTGTGTTTTTTGTAGAGACGGGGTTTCACCATGTTGGCCAGGCTGGTCTCGAACCCCTGACCTGAGGTGATCCTCCCACCTTGGTCTCCTAAAGTGCCGGGATTACAGGTGTGAGCCACCATGCCTGGCCTTAAGAACATATTTTTTAAAGTTATATTTAAATGAAGTTGCATTGCATGTATTTATCCCATCAAACTCACTTTAGCTTCCAGGATCAAATGAGATCAGACACATTCACAGTGGTGTGGCTATAGGCTCAAACTCATTTTAAAAGAATATCAAGGTGATATTTTGTCAGATTAAAGGCATATTCAGAAACGTTCTTTTTTAAGGTCAATACATGAAAGAATACATAAAGGAAACTATGACTAAACAGAGTGCTTTTCAGTGGGCAGGTTTGGGCAAACCTTCCTAGTCTGAGGAAGCTAAGAGGCCAAAGGAAAAGAGGCTGACATACCCGGTTTCTCAGAAACTTTTTTTGGGGAGGGGGACATGGTCTGGCTCTTTCAACCAGGCTGGAGTGCAGTGGTGTGATCACGGGTCACTGCAACCTCAGCCTCCTGGGCTTAAAGTGATCCTCTTAGGTCAGCCTGCTGAGTAGCTGGGGCTACAGGCACGCAGTGCCACACCGGGCTAATTTTTAAATTTTTTGTAGAGACAGTGGTCTCACTGTTTTGCCCAGGCTGGTCTCAAACTCTTGGGCTCAAGTGATCCTCTGTTCTGACCACCTAGAGTGCTGGGATTATAAGCATGAGCCACTGTGCCCAGGTAGAAATAAATATTTAATAGGGACTTACAAACAGAAGCTATGTCTGTGTCTGTAATCGCAGCAAGACAAGATAGGTGGATCCCCATGCCATAACCCCCATATCTTTAACCACTACGGTATACTGGATACTTAAGGAACTTTACACAGAACAATGACAATTTTGATTGTGCAGCTTGCAATTGTTCTAATGTTACTTTACTAACAAATAGGAACATAATTAGTCTTGACAGAAATACAAAACAAAGTAATTGTAACTTTTAATATATTACAGAGATGAACATGATGCCATCATTTAAGGAAATCCATGGACCAAGGAAGGAAGACAGATTGATGCCGCCCTATCAATTAATTTTGGTTTATTAATAGTTTAAAACAATATTCTTTTTTTGAAAATAGTGTAAACAGGCCATGCATATAATGTACAGTGTATTACATAAATATGTAAAGATTCCTCAAGGTAACGGGTTTGGGTTTTATAATAAACATCTGGAGCTTACAGACAGTGAATACAAAGGTTTATATTCACTTTTAGCAAGCTCATAGTAAGACAAACAAGTCCTATCTCTTTTTTTTGTTTGTTTTAATGGCCGGGGGTGGGGGGGCATTGGTCACATATAACCAGTAATTGAAAGGTGTCATCACTGAAAGTGCCATCTGGGCATACAAATAAGGAGTTTGTCACAGCACTCAGGATTTTGGGTATCTTGGAGCTCACACAAAGAACTTCAGTGCTTTTCAGAGCTGGATATATCCTGATTACTGATGCCACACAGAAATTATACAATCAAGTAAACCAGATCTGAAGCATAATTTAAGAAAAACATCAACCTTTTTTGTGCTTTAAACTGTAGTAGTTGGTCTAGAAACAAAATACTCCAAGAAGAAGAAAATTTTCAAATAAAACCCAAAATAATATCTGTGTTTAACCCTGTTAGGGATCCATTGGAGCATTAAAGAGCGTATATTTTTATTAACTTTTGAGCTTTCAATGTTGATGTAATTTTTGTTCTCTGTGTAATTTAGGTAAACTGCAGTGTTTAACATAATAATGTTTTAAAGACTTAGCTGTCAGTATTAAATAATCCTGGCAATATAGGGGAAAAAACACCTAGAAGTTAGATTATTTGCTACTGTGAGAATATTGTCACCACTGGAAGTTACTTTAGTTCATTTAATTTTAATCTTATATTTCATGAATATTTTAAGAACTGTAGAGCTGCTTTCAATATCTAGAAATTTTTAATTGAGTGTAAACACACCTAACTTTAAGAAAAAGAACCCCTTGTATGATTTTCGAAGGAACATTTAGAATTCTATAGAGTCAAAACTGTAGCCTAATGCTGTGTTTATTAACCCAGGGATTGTGGGACTTCCCCCAGGCTACTAAACCCGCAGGATGAAAATGCTGTATTTTCTTTCATGCACTGTTGATATTACTCAGAGATTTGGGGAAATGACATTTTTTATACTAAAACACCAACATATTTTAGAATAAATTCTTAGAAAGTTTTGAGAGGAATTTTTAGCAGGACATTTCCTCCTTCCTGATTTGGATATTCCCTCAGATCCCTCTTACTCCATGCTGAAGGAGAAGTACTTTCGGATGCATTATGTTAATGGACAGAAAAAGCACAGTATTTGTAGAGACACCGGTATTAGCCACAATGTATTTTGGAGTGTTTTCCGTTTCACAGTTTATATTCCAGCACTCAAAACTCAGGGTCAGGCTTTAACAAAAGAGGTATGCAGTCACAGTAAATACTAAGATCGCATTTCTATCTCAGAGGGCCAAAGTAAATCACACCAGTTTCTGAAGGTCCTAAAAATAGCTCAGATGTCCTAATGAACATGCGCCTACATTTAACAGGAATACAATAAAACTATTGTGGTCCGCTTTTGTTTTGCAGAGAATGCTAGATATTAAGAATTTTGAAATGGATCATTTCTGCTTGCTGTGCATTATAACCAATAATCTGATGAACATAGAAAAAAATCCAAAATATGGATATGATTGGATGTATGTAACATATAGAGTATGGAGGAAATTTTCTGAAAAATACATTTAGATTAGTCGAAAGAGATGTGGGCTGATGGCTGAGTTGTATGTTACTAACTTGGCCCCGACTGGTTATGCAACCATTGCTTCATTTCTTTGCAAAATGTAGTTAAGATACACTTTATTCTGATGAAGGCCTTTTAAATTTGTCCACTGCATTCTTGGTATTTCACTACTTCAAGTCAGTTAGAACTATGTGGACCGACCTGAAGTTTCTTTTTGAATACTTGTTTCTTCAGCCCTTTGAAGATAGAAAAACCACTTTTTAAGTACTAAGTCATTTGCCTTGAAAGTTTCCTCTGCATTGCATTTGAAGTAGTTTAGTTATGTCTTTTCTCTGTATATAAGTAGTATAATTTGTTACTTGCAAATACCAGTACTTTCAATGCAGGTTTTTTTTGTTGTTATCTATAAAAATTGAGGGAAATGGTTATGCAAAAAAAAAAATTTTGCTTTGGATCACATTTCCTAAGCATAAATTTACCTTCTTAATTATGTTTACTTAGGAAAATGCTCAATTTTGCTTGCATTCCTTGAGAATGTATTTATTTGAAGATCAAAACAATCCAGATGTATAAGTACTAGGCAGAAGCCAATTTTAAAATTTTCTTGAATAATCCATGAAAGGAATAATTCAAATACAGATAAACAGAGTTGGCAGTATATTATAGTGATAATTTTGTATTTTCAGGAAAAAAAGTTACTCTTCTTTTCTTTTTATTATAATGACCAGCTTTTGGTATTTCATTGTTACCAAGATCTATTTTTAGAATAAAATTGTTCTCCTTCTAAAATTTTTTAAGTGTGTGATTTTGCTTTATTTCATTAAACTCAAGATAAATAGAAAACGCTCAAAATAAAAGGGCAGATTGCAAGTGTGGTTGTTTGGGTAAGGAGCAGCAGCACTACCTGGGAACGTGTTAGAAAATGCAAATTCTTTGGCCCCAACCCAATTATGTTGAGTTGGAAATTCTGGGGTAGAGCTCAGCAATCTGTTTTTTTAGAGACAGGGTCTTGCTCTGTCACCTAGGCTGGAGTGCAATGGCACAATCATAGCTCACTATAACTTTGAACCCCTCGACTCAGTTGAAGCGATCCTCCAGCCTCAGCCTCCTGAGTAGCTAGGACTGCAGGCATGCACCATCACACCCAGCTATTTTTAAAATATTTTTTGTAGAGATGGGGTCTCGCTATGTTGCCCAGGCTAGTCTCAAACTTCTAGCATCAAGCGATCCTCCTGCCATGGCCTCCCAGAGTGCTGGGATTACAGGACTGAGCCACTGCACCTGGCCAGCAGTCTATTTTAATGAGCCTACCATGTGATTCTGATGTACACCAAAATAATGAGAACCACTAAAAGGATTTTTATTTGCAGCTGCTGCTGTATTCTGCTGGACAGAGTTTTAAAAATTGGTATACTAATGGTAGAAAATTTATTCTCTAGATAAATCAGTTACAAATGCATTAGTGTATGGTATTTTCAACAGTCTTTTTCTCCTTTAAAAGTAGATATAATTTAGGCTGGATGCAGTGGCTCACACCTGTAATCCCAGCACTTTGGGAGGACAAGGCGGGCATGTCACCTGAGGTCAGCAGTTAGAGACCAGCCTGGCCAACATGCGAAACCCCATCTCTACCAAAAATAGAAAAATTAGTCGCCCGTGGTGGCGTGTGCTTGTAATCCCAGCTACTAGGGAGGCTAAGGAAGGAGAATCGCTTGAACTCAGGAGGTGGAGGTTGTAGTGAGCCAAGATCACACCACTGCCCTCCAGCCTGGGTGACAGAGCAAGACTACACCTCAAGAAAGAAAAAAAAAAAAACGAGATGTAATTTGTATCTGAGAATGGATTTAAATATTATAGACAACCAAGGTAAAATGATGCTGTCTTAAGAAAAAAAATTTTTTTTTGAGACTGAGTTTTGCTCTTGTCACCCAGGCTGGAGTGCAATGGCATGACCTTGGCTCACTGCAACCTCCACTTTCCAGGTTCAAGCGATTCTCCTGCTCCAGCCTCTCTAGTTAGGATTACAGGTGCCTGCCACTATGCCCAGCTAATTATTGTACTTTTAGTAGAGATGAGGTTTCACCATGTTGGCCAAGCTGGTCTTGCACTCCTGACCTCAGGGGATCCACCCACCTCAGCCTCCCAAAGTGCTGGGATTACAGGTGTGAGCCACTGTGCCCAGCCAAAAAAAATTTTAAGTATCCTCCTATAGTCAAGCTCTGATGTCAGATTGCTTGGGGTTAAGTGCTTCCTCTACTATATACTAGCTGTATGACCTTGGGTAAGTTACTCCTCTTACCCTCCATGTCATCTGTAAAATGGGGATGGTAACAGTACTTACTGCAGAGGGTTATTGCATGAGGATTATATAGGATACTTCATGTAAAGTATTTAGGATACTGTCTTGCACAAGTGCTAAAGTCTTAACTAATCCCGACAAAGCCAATTTTCTGATACCCAAGGGAAAAAAAAGTACCCCCTTTTTTTTCAAAAGATTAAAAGTACCCTCTTAAGATATTTGTTCACAATTCTGCCTCCCTCCTCACTTTGCTATGGCTTCAAAATGGGCACAGTTTACTCCCCCAACAACTTTAGGTGTGGGTATGTGTCTTGCTTTTAGTCCATAGGTACGAGAGTGGATGTAATAAACATGTCTGTTCTGGGGGGTAAAAAGACCCTCCTAACTTTCATCTAATCACTTTTTAAAAATTACGTTCTACCTACCAAAAAATGCGCAAATCAGAAGTATATAGAAATTTTGGCAAGTGACGTCACCAAAATGGTGGAGTAGGAGATACCAGCCTTCATGCCCTGTCAAAAGAAACAAATATACACTGCTATCCACAAACCAAAATAGCCCTGGAGGGCTCAAGGGCAATTGTCCTTTTATATATGTATGTATGTTAGTATGTTTGTATGAATTAATGAATGGCAGGATCTCCCACTCTGGCGCCCAGGCTGGAGTGCAGTGGTGTGATCATAGCACACTGTAGCCTCAAACTCCTGGGCTGAAGTGATCCTCCCACCTCAGACTCTCAAGTAGCTGGGACTCAGGTGCCACCATGCTTGACTAAGTTTTTGGTTGTTTTTGTTTCTCAGTAGAAACAGGGCCTCACTATGTTGCCCGGGCTGGTCTCAAACTCTTGAGCTCAAGCAATCCTCCTGCCTCAGCCTTCCAAACTGCTAGAATTACAGGCATGAGCTACTGCGTCCGGCCTCAAGGGCCCATTAAAAAATGTGCAACAACCTAGTGGAGAATTTAAAAAAAAAAAAAATGCACATAAAGAATTGCTTATGAGATCAGAATTCCTGAGACACCAGAAGATGGCTAAGAAGAAAGGCAGGGACTATCAGTATCAGTCATGTGGCCTGCTCTGCAGAGGATACCACCTTCTTTTGCCACAAAGGTAACCAACAGCCATGGCCATAGCAAGCTAGTTTGCACTCCAGAGCCAAGATCTCTCTGCATGTCCACACTCCGAACACTAACTCAGCTGCCGTTGAAAGCCCACACTCCAGGCCCTGACTCCAAGGCTGGGCTGTGCACACCTATACTGCAAACAGTAAAGCCACTGCCATAGTAAGGGAGTTTGCACCCTGGGCCCCAGAGCCAAGGTTTCTCTATCTGTTTACACCCTGGAGACCAGCTCAGTCATCAAAGAGGGCCAGGCCTTGCCCCAACCCTAAAGCTACTGTAGCTGTGTGCACACTTGTGCTCTTGTCCCTACCTGTTTCACAAGCTCCCATACTTCACATACCATTATCAACTGTCAGCAGGGTGTCTGTGCCCTGGGCAC